CAGTGGCACACACAGTGGCACACACAGTGGCACACACAGTGGCACACTGCCGAAACAAACAAAAAAGCTGGTATAAAAGCTGTCTGATGGGCAGTGCTGTTCTGGAAAGCAGGTAAAAGTATTCCCTGTGTCAGGCTGTGCTAGCAAAACTGATGACCATTCAACTGTATGGAGCATCTCTGGTCCCATCTCCAGGTTTTATCCCCTGTAAACTACAGAAAATACTGAACAAATGCCTGTCATCTTCTAACCTTGGTCCCAAGGTGGTTTTGCTTTGTTGTGTGTCTCCTTGCAGCCCTTCAACTGTTCCTCCTGTGCTCCTTTTGATCCTGAAGGCTCTCCCTAGCTTAGTACTAACAGGGTGGGCAGAAGTAACAAAGTCATCTAGGCATGACTTCAGGGTTGAAGTTGTATAGCTTGACATTAGGAAATAGAATTGAGATTCTGGATCCAGACAACTAGTATTTCCAATTCTTACTGGAAGTAAGAATTACCCAGTGTTGGTAAAAGATTGGCATTTTTTCAATCTAAAGCCCCATAGTTACTTGGCACCACAGCAATTACAGTAACGGCAGCACAGACTTTTCACTGGTAATTATCTGAAAGCAGCCCAAAAACTAAGCTGTGGGGACTGATAGCTTTGGGTAAGGTCTGCTGTTTGTGAGCAACATGAGAGACCTGCTGGGGCTGCTGCAGGGCCCTGTATGCAACCTTCTGTGCTGGCAGAGGTGCCAGAACGCATCTCCTGCTTTAGACCAAAGAGCAGCATTTGGTTGCTACCTTCACACATCAAAGCCTTACAATCCACAGTGAAATCTCCCAGCCCACCCTGCTCTGCCTTGTCTGCAAAGTTCCAAAGAAGTGGGGGGGGGGGGGGGGCAAGATTCTTCTCTCCCATCCCCTGGAGACTTGGCTTTACTACTTCCTTTCATGCTATGGAAGAGCTCAGCTTTGCACTAACCACAGCAGCTGGGCTAGCCCGCTAGCAACATGCAGACCAGCCAAACAAGCTTTTGTTCATGACAAACAAACAGGAAACTGATTTCCTCTGTTCACCCCCTCTCTTCCTATTTAACAGATAACCAGCTTACCTGAGTTGAGAGGAGAGCAAAAGAAACCACACAGACAGGTGCTCTGGAGCAGCTGTACTTTGCAGAATGGTTGTTGCAGAGGAATGGGCATCTACTCTGATAGTTGCTAGTATACCAAAACTGCTGAAACCTCTCTAGGTAAGGGAGCTCCCTGAGTTTATGATAATTTGTACCCTGCAGCAAACTGGCAGCACCTCTGAAGTGGTTAGAACAAGGAATAGGGAGGAGTTTCCTTATTGCTTCTTTTGTACTACAGATCAAGCAGAAAAAGCCTATCCCAAAATGCAGAGAATGGGGGGAAGCTCTTGTGGAAGTAGGTAGGAAGCGAATAATTGCCTAATCCAAGCTGGAGCTCAGCTAGTTTAATTATTCTTTGCATGACAGTAGGCAGCACAGGGGGCAGAGGGTCCCCTCTGAGGCTTAGCTCTATTACTGCTGTGAAAACAGCATTTGAGATTCCTATGCTAAATCTGCATACAGTACTGATCTGGACTGCATCAGAAACTTGCAGTGAGTTACCCCTGATCTCTGACAGGCCATCACTGTGCCTAAGGCTGGGACAGTGCATCCCAGCTGCTGGAGGGCAGGGCAGAAAGTTAACAGTGTGAGATGTCAGCTGCAAGAGTGACATGCTCCTGTCCCCCAAGCTGGTAGACAAAGTGGGGCAGGAAGGGCAGGAGGAGGCTAGGGAAGAATGTGTGCAGGATGCTTCAGAAGCAGTAGGTTAAAAATACACAGCAGATGCAAGGACAGGAAGGAAGCAAAGGTTAAGCCTGAATAAGGTAAGCCCACCCCAGAGACATTAACACAACATGACTTTCGTAGGGGTGAGTCTCACTGTGCCCCCTCTGCAAAGCCAGTAAATATTGCTCTATTGAAGCAATTGCTTCCTCTCAAACACAGCTTGTAGTGGGTGATTTTCAAACCCACAGAGGTGTTTTCACACATGAAGCTGGGCTATAATATTGGATGGGAGTGGAAAGGAGCAAGTTCAGCCACTTTTTTCCTCACTAGCCAACATATAATGGACCTGCACTCATATAACTCTGGTAGGAAGTTGATGCTGATCAGAGTAGAGGCGTTCTTAACAAAAGAACATGTCTCCACAGCCTGCTATGGTGATACTCACACTTAATTACTTCATCACAAGTCTTAAAGCTTACGTAACAGTCATAGCACCAAGTGTCTGGACAGCAAGCTTAGACATATGGTTTAATTTTCAGATAGTCCTGTGTGGAGTCAGGAGTTTACTCAATCTCTGTATGGCCACTCCACCTGCATCCTGCTGCTCTCAAGGTCTAACCAAGGGTATGAAGAGAGATGCTGGTGGTGTTAACTCTGCATTATTTGGAGACAGATAATCTTTAACTGTGGCCTCACACTGAGCTAGCAAAAGAGAAGGGAGAGTGGGAACAGGAATTTCCTCTGTCTGATCTTCTCTGTGCTGATACAGTGTCAAAGCCCAACACTCAAGGGGGTAGTTCCCTCCGAGCATAGGGCTTCCTGTGACAAGAGCTGGCAGGAAAAGCCCTTTGTTTCCCTTTTGCTTCCTTTCCCATTGCTTGAGAGGATCCTGAATCCTGCAAGACTTAGCACAATACCTAAAGTTAAAGTATTAGTCCAAACAGCAAGTGGTTGGGTTACAGCAAGACATCAGTGCTCCTGTCCATGCTTAAGTTTCGCTTCTCCCTCAGGGCCCGTTCACTGCAGCATCCTTGAGCAACCCTGAGGGCGTTTCCCCTTTGGGGAAGGAAAAAGAATCCTACTTGCAACTGCATTCTCACCAGGCCCTCAACGCTGAGTTCAGGCTTTTCCCAAAGCAGAACTGTTATGACGTGAAGGCTTCAGTCAAACAGCACCTTGCTATGTTTGGTGCCAGCCCAGAAACAGCACAAGCCATGAAGATTCACCTGTGGGAACAGTGAGTAGGACAAAAGGAAGGCAGCCCACCTCCCTGCTGGCTGTAGGAAGAAAGAACACTGGGAGGGCTGTTTCACTGGCTGCTGAGAGTTTCCCAAGAAATTATCATAGCACAAGTCCAGGTGATGCAGGGAGCTATTGCTGCTTGGGTAGAATAGAGAACCCTCACCGACGGAGCCACATCCCATAGCAGCACAGCTTAAATGGGACTGCAGGCCCTGGACCGGACAGACACCTCCTTTACCAAAGCACTCCAGCACTGGTTTACTACCTGGAAGACATAAAATAACCAGACCAATCAGCTCAGAGATTGCCCAAGAGCACCAAGCTGTGCAAACCCAACAAGCCGGCCAATGCCACAAGAAAATTAATTGCTGATAAAGGCAGGAACTAAGCTCTGTTTGATTTTTCCCCTTCCCACACTATTCTGCACCTGGCACCAGCAGTCATCTCCAAAGAGCTGCATCTCAACAACATTCTTATCCATTAGATTTGCTTTCTCAGCAATTCTAGAACACCCATTCCTATAGGAAAAAAACACAGGTGTGTGATACTGTGTTCTGGTGCATCTAATTTGAATTTGCATAATATTTAGTCTTTTTAACTCTGAAAGATCCTAAGCTACTTAGCAATGAAGGATCTGGTTTCCACAAAGGAATTCACCTATAGTTGCACTGCTGCTACTTCTGGAGCGAGCTGCAAACAGCTGCTTGCTGAAACACTGCAGCAGTTGAAGGCAGGAAATGAAGATCTCTATCACCTGTTCCTGGCACTGCATGAAGTGAGGAGGATGTGTGAGGGCATTTCCCATACTAGCTGTACTATAGATAGAAGGGAAATACCAGAGAAAGTAGGCAAACGTGCCACAGCATCTTACTGAGCAGTGAACAAGATGCACATATATGCCTCTAGAAGTTAAACAACAGCATGAAGGGAAGACAGAGATGATAGCAAGGAAATCAGAGGGCTGATAAGGATCTGTGGCTGTAAGGCAGGCGTGTGCTAGGGAGCAGATCATGTGCAAGCAGAGATGTGGGACTGTTCCTGCATTTTGTTTGTTTCCCTTTACCTGGCTGACATGTCTTTTCATGTCAAAAGATAGATCAAAGAGAGGGATGTAAATAGCTGAAGGGAGCCCTTTGTGGGAAAAGGGCTGTGTTACAGCCAATGACTCAGACAGATCCCTCCCTGGGAGCCAGCATGAGGATGTCAACTTCCATTAATAAAACAGCCAGGGAAGAAAGTGTGCAACTGCAGGGAGCCCTGGGCATTCAGGAGCCAAATCACACAGCAAGGCTTAGAAGAGTCAGTCTCCTCTGCAGCAGCCTCTTCCCCAACACAGATGCAGAAGTGACAAAGCAGAGAGATAAGGACAAGTGCTTTGTTGTCATGCTGGAAATCTGACAGTCCAAGAATACTTGCACTCAGTCCCTTATCTTTTTAAGTCCTTCCTCTGCAGAGTCCTAGGTGTCTGCTGAGAAAGAGGGACTTAACATTTCCTTTTAACCTCTGTACAACTTGTTTTTGGGGAGAGCAAAATCACTGTGTGAAACTGAAGTAGAAAAGCATCTTTTACAGGAAAGCCTCTGCAATCTTCCAGTACCTATTTTAAGGTAAGGGGACTTCATGCCATAGGTTCAGAGTAAAGAAGCCAGGCTAGAAAACCACAGACACAGCATCAAGGAAGGTGGGTACAGCAAAACAAATTGAGAGACTAGGTGTTCTCCCCACACATTGGAGAAAAAACTTATCAAGGCACTTGCCTGCTCTTGTCCCACAATCAGACATTAGCAGTGGCTGTGCCTTTATACAGAAATGGAAATGGTGGCTTCACTCCTCACCTGCACTCCTTTGGACACAGGTATCCCTCTGACAGAATTTCACATTTGAAATAGCATCTCTACAACCCACTGCTTTCTTGTTCATCCATCTGACAAGAAAAAAGTCTTCAGAGCCTTCTTCTTCCTGCTCTTTTCAAGGTTTGAAATTTAATTACATGGCCTCTCTTTATGAAGACCTGCATAGCACATAGGTGTGGGGCTGAGCAGGGGCAACAACATGCTCTCAAAACCTGGGTCTCCCTTAGCTACCCTCTCCCCTGCCAGCTATACACAGTCCCTGCAGAGATGAGAACAGCCTGGGATCTGCTCTGAACTGAGTCTGCCAGTAATAGCTCCAACAGGGCTGGCCTGAGCAACGCATGTTGTGCTTTACTCCTTTCCCATGCCCACACAGCAGGAGTTGCTGGGGCAAAGAAGAAAGGTGGCAAGCAGTTGGAACCAGATGATCTTTAAGGTCCTTTCCAACCCAAGCCAAACTGCGCCTCTATAAACACCATTCTGATCTTACTGTGGTGCTTCCCAAGCATACGCTGTCCTTTTATTTGATTGTGAACTTTGAGAGTCCCAATCCCTGCTCTCCACAGGGAGCTCAAATCTGGGTTTTATGTGCAGTAATAAAATATTCCAGCAGGTAGCATTTCAGTAGGTGAAAAGACTTTTTGTTCCCCCCCAAAAAACTCAAATTAGATTCCTACACCATTTGGGGACCGTTTACAGCAAACAAGGAAACAAACCACAGGTAGAGGAAGGGACTAAATGATTTTAGAAGGGGGCTATGGAAGGGATACAGGTCTGAAATCAGACAGGAGAGGGTCAAAGCTACACAGCACAAAATTCCTCAAGTCTTAGGATGCAGCTAACACCACCAAAAAGGCTGTGCCCTGCCCCTTTTTCCTGTTTCTGCTACTCTTGCCTGTCCTTTTGCTGCCGCCAAACCTAAACCACAGCAGCGCTCTCCCCTCCTACACTGCACTCAGAAGTGGTTTTTAGGGCTACGGAGGAGGCACTGCTGCTTCCTGGGGGAGGTGGGACTGCTGCTCAGCACTGTGGACCCCAACCCAGCCCCACGCTGGACCCCAGCCCCACGCTGGACCCCAGCCCCACGCTGGACCCCAGCCCCACGCTGGACCCCAGCCCCACGCTGGACCCCAGCCCCACGCTGGACCCCAGCCCCACAGAATCACAGAATGGCCAGGATTGGAAGGGACCTTGGATCATGAATCTCCAACCTTCCTACCACATACAGGGCCAACCAACCTCCACATTTAATACCAGACCAGGCTGCCCAGGGCCGCATCCAACCTGGCCTTGAACACCTCCAGGGACGGGGCAAGCATGCTGGACCCCATCCCCACAGCCCTTCATGAGCCCCGTACCTGTCCCAAGCTGCCGATTCCACCAGCAAAATCCATTTCTCGTCACATCTCTCCCTCACACATCACACAGGCCCTGCAGGTGGGTGCAATCAAGAAACCACAGGCCAGAATTAAGTGGTTATTAACGTTTTAAAGCAAGAGAAGGTGTGGATCAAGAGGAAACCGGGCTTTGGTCTAACAGAATGACAGGATCCTCGGTCCGGTGGGTTTTCTCTCCATGAAGCTTTACCTGAGGGGCGGCCCTCAGCGGCCCGCCCGGCCCCTTCCAGCCTCTCGGCGAAGCGTTACCTCCATCCCTCCCGTCTTCAGCAGAGCCACGGAGGTACCCGAGGGAAGGAGGCGTGGACCGGAGCGAAGCCGCAACTCGCCCAGCTCAGCTGACTGCAATTAGGGCGGCCTCTTTTATTACCTCAGCGGAGTAACGGTCGGTCCGGCCGGGGGCAGCCGCCGCCGTCGCTCGGCCCCTCCTGCCGCCGCGCGCACGCCTCACCTGAACCCCGCCGGGCGCCGCGCATGCGCACAGCTCCCCCCAACGTGCGCTCACCTGCGCTCCGCGTCCCCTCCACCGCCTAAGCTGAATAGAGAAAAGGGGGGGGAAGAGAGGCAGCCGCGCATGCGCCGCCGCGCGCCTCGCGCCGCTCGCCCTCCCCTCAGCCTATGGGTGTCTCCCCCCCGCGCGCGCCCGCGGCAACCACCTCCTCGGCGCGTGCCCGCGCGTGCGCGCGGCGGAGTCGCGAGACTGGCTGCGGGCGGCCACGTAGCGCTGCGGCGGCGGCGGAGGAGAGGAACGCTGAGCCGCCGAGTCCGAGCGGGAATCGCGTCCGTTGGCGTGAACCCGAACCCTCGGCCCGAAGGCGGCGGTCGTTCGGAACGTCTCGGAGGCGGCTGAGGGGGCCGAGCGGAGGGAGGGAAGGAGGGGAGGGAGGGCCCCGGCCGCCCTGCCCTCCGCCCTCCCGCCTCGCCTCGCCTCGCCTCCTCCACCCGCCCTCCGCCGCCTCGCCCGTGCCCCCCCTCCTCCTCTCGCCGCCCGGCATGGAAGGCGGCGGGGGCGGCCCTGAGGGGATCGGCCTGGGTGAGTGAGTGTGTGTGTGAGTGAGTGAATGCGGGCCGCCCGACCGGCCAGGCTCCCCTTCCCCCTTCTCCCAGGCCTGGCGGTAGCGCTAGGCCCGATCGCGGGTGGGGGGCGGAGGGAGCGGGGTTGAACGGCCTGAGGGGCCGCTGAGGGG